AGCGTTCGAATGTTGAAGCGAAACAGTTGATTTCCCATTCGTCTTAACTCTTGCAATTGGTTTCAAAATCAAAGTGCAATACATCATTATTTTATTAACAATGTTATGGACGGAAGAGTGTTCTTTTAGCCGTACTGCCATTTTAAATATATGGTACCATACTACTCTTTGAAAAGCAATAAGTCACACAATAAGGTATATGTACTACAAACTGAATATTTTATTGATTAAAAACGCGTTAAAAGCCAGGTTAATGACCAAATGTTACTGAGGTCAATGTTCACTTTCGATAAACTTTTGTAAGTCAACGGTCAGGGGCGGTTTCATAAAGGATTTAAATAATGATCTGAAAATATTTTATTTCAGCGTAAATATGCATCATAAAAATTTTTTAATCGCTTATTCGTATTCTACTATTTTTTCCCTATCTTCCCTTAGAATTAATGACATTATGACTGAATCACCCTATATATATACAGAGTGTCCCAATAGAAGTAATAATATTTTATAGTATTTCTCCGAAAATTCTAGGAGAAACCGAGTACGCCACTTTATTCTAGGGAAAAAAATAGTATAAGAAGCCTTTAAAACTTTTTGACATCTCTTGCAACAAGTGAAATATAAGGAGCAATAGAAATTGGTAAAATTCGAGAATCCTCTATCGAAAATCAATCGAGTTAGCCAATATCTTTCGTATTCTACCATTTACAGGTAAATTTGATAGGAGGTGTTAAAAATTATTTTCTTTTCTTAGAAGTTTCAGTTCACAAGTAAAAAATCTGCAGTTTTACATATATTTCCTATAGGACTTACATGTGATTACTTGTAAAACGGTATTATAGTCTTTCTGATCTCAATTGAAGACAGCAACTCGGCATTGAAATATTTGAAAAACTTGTTCCCAAATTTATTTACCCATACCTATATACAGGTCTGGTCGAACTAAACGTGGAGGTGGTAGAAATGTATACGACCAGTTGAAGAATGCCATCGCGGGTAAACACCGCACAAACACAGCCGCACTGGGCGACTGCGTCATAAATTTCAGTTGTTGACAAATTGCCTAGCAGTACAGTGCAGCCATGCGGAACTATTTTATTGTTGATTATTTTTATTTAATAACTTTTCTAACCTAAACTAAACCTCATCATTTCCTGGCAAGGATATGTTCATACCTTCTCGTTGGTTCTTGGCGAGCATTAATATATTTTAATGAGTAATAAAATTGTTTCATGCAGTATTGAATTGTTTCTTGGGCTGTATGGGATTGGCACCGTCTTGGTGAATGACACGTTGTGGATGCATTTGTTTCTCAACAATCACTCGTGGATTTTCTAAAACCCAAAGGTTACAATTTTGTTGATTAACGAAGCCATCAAGATGAAAATGAGCCTTATCGCTGTAGATGATTTTCTTCGAAAAATCAGCATTCACTTGTTCCATGATTCATTCAACGAACTCTCTTCGTTCTGCATGACCAATTGAACTTTGTAAGCATTAAGATGCAAATCTTTCGTGAGAATACGCCGTAGAGGGCTTTTTGAAATATCCAATTCTTGACCACGGTACCGAATTTCTGGACTCTCACAACACTCTCCAACACTGCTTGTTTTTTGTTGAATAACGGCCAGTGTTTAAGATTTCTAATTTATCCAGATTTTTCAATTAATCTCTTCAGAGTTGATGAAGTTAAATCACTATTTTGTACGAAAATTAATTGTTAACTGTGGCTGCCAAAACTTGGGTGCATTTTGGGCTACCCGATATAAATGATGTAAATATGTACAGATAAAGAGAACGCATTCCGGGGAAAAAGGACTACAATTCCGCCTCGATTTTAACAAGATTAGATTTCCAACACGTGACATATGTGGACTTAATTGCACTGCTATGGGAATCTGTAATAAGTTTATATAAATACTATTAAAAAATAACAGTGGACTGATACGTTGGATATTTTTTCCCCTTTATTGTATTACATATGTGATTAACAAGACCTAAATAAGCATCAAATTGCTATCAATAAAAAATAAGGAACTGCAATAATGGAGAGAATCCTTCGTAAGTTAAATGAGCGGAACACGAGGAAGGCTAACAGTGACTAATGTTTGACACGCCCGACGTTAAGTGCTGCCCGCATGAAAATAACGATGCGTGTGCCAAATTCCGAAAATATTTATTTAGAAATTGGTGTTAACTGTCGCTGTTGCGTCGTCTCTTTGGTAGTCGGTGTACGCGAGCGCCGTAACTGTGCGTCCGACATATCGTTATGTCACCAGTGGCACGCGACCTATGGATATGGTTCTGTAATCGGCCGCACCTGATTGTATTTTTCATGATGCAAACGTCGGAAAGTAGGTTTGCGCGGACGAAAAAAGTCTGACCTAAAAAAAATTTGTAGACGCGAGAGGAACTGCAAAAGTTTTCCGCCTCGCAGCGAAACAAAGCTCTCGACTTTTTTAATTTGTTTTTTAACATAGTCTCAATTTTAACGCACTCTTTGATCTTCTACCTATATCTGCATATAAAATTTTTGCCGCATGTGCACTTTTATTGCACGGAATATACTTGTATAAACTGCCATATTTCATTTGAATGCACCATAGTTCACTAAAAAAAATTAAGTACACTTTAGGCCACTTAAAAGAAAACAAATCAACACAAATGATCCATGAGCTTAGAGTTCTGGGACAGAATCGGACTCGGTTTAGTAAAGTAAATGTATACATGTTTACTTACAATATGTCACAATGCAGTTTTCGTTTTTTGTTCTTTTTTTATTGGGTGTATTGCCACCTGTGAAAAAATTTAAAAATAACGAATGAAATAAACCGTTGCACCAAAAGAATCCGTTAAGGGTTATTTTTGTGAAAATAATTTTGCCTAATTAAAAGTTTCGCACTGAAAAAAAGCAACACAAACACTGTTTTCTGTGGGAGATTTTTGGTTAGGCAAAACTATTTTCTCAAAAATAACCCTGGACTGCTCCTTTTGAAACAAGGGTCTATTTCATATTTTTTTAAAAATTTTCCCAGAGGCAAAAAAATTAATTATATTGATTACAATGAAAGCATATCATTACTCGCTTCTTTAAGTTTTCTAGAATAAAATTTCGTTTTATCATTTACTAACTTGTGTTAGAAAAATGACCCAACTCAAATATTTATTTTCAATGCACTTATTTGAAAAATATAACTTCCTCAAAATTACAAATACAATTTGTCCAAGATAAGGATGGGACAGCATTAGGATCCAGGAAAAAAGTAACCTGATGATGACGAAAAGACGAAACGGCGGATTGTAGAAATGTTGACGGCATTGGATAGAGCGGAAAAATGGCATTGTAAATATGCAATTTGTTTTAAAATTTGTTTTCAAATAAAGCCAGAAAAAAAATTAAACGATTTTGCAAAATTTCGGGTTTTTCCGGATATTTCCGGAACTACCCGGAATATTAAAACTTTCTAAACGGCATATTGTTAGGTATAAGAAAACACATTTTTTTTCTAATTTGAGCCATCCCGTATCTCTTACCGTTTCCCAGATCCTAATGCTATCCCATCCTTATTTTGGACACAATGTATAATTATGTCTGCTACAATTTTGTTAGAGGCCAATCTTTGGAAAATGTTAGTTCATTTTGTTTTTGGATTTACTTAAAATTTTCATAATCAGCATAGTTTGAGTATTACATTGTATAAGTTAAAAAAAATTGAGAACTAAAATTCGCTAACCCATTGTATTAGCGAAAACACCTCGTTATCTTGCACTACTTTTAATGACCTACTACGATTTATTTTTTTAATTATATATTTGCAAGGAGTATAAATCTTCGGTATAAACCTGTAAGTTTTTTTTCAACATTGATTTAGAAAAAATAACATGAATAAAATAAAATAATGAAATTATCAAAAAAAAAAATATTATTAAATTTCAGATAAAAAAATCACGAATACCATTTTTCAAAATTCGTTCCCATTGATATGAAAACCAGGAGAATGAGCCGAGTACGACCCTGTTAAGAGCCGACCTTCCCGAACTCTAGATCATTTCGGCAACCAACAACGTACAAAGTTTTCATTACTATCCTTGTGGACAGAGGTTCTCAAAATGTACAGTGTGGTTGATTTTCGATAGTTTTATAGGGTACAGCCAAAACGGTGATAGATACAAAAAATCTGATATCTCTTTTTTTTTTAGTTTACTTCGCTGGTACCAGAATATCTTAACTAACTTGATTAGTTTTAGATATACAGGGTTTTTCTGAAAAATCGCCCTCATTTACATTAACCTCTCTGTCTCCGTTGTCATTAAATTTAGAAGAAAAAGTTTGAACATTATTTGTTCTATTTTTTTTATGAAGAAGCCATTGGCGTACTCAGATTTTTTACAAATCGCACAGTTTTTCCGATATTACAAAAACATAGGTTTTATTAAATAGAACACTCTGTATTTGGCCATCCCGTTGAATAGCATTTTTTTTACCTTTTCAACCATATACAATTGATTCATGTTATTTGCCAAAATGAAGACGAATGCTAAAAATCTTGAGGTATTTTTTTCAGTTGGCCGTGTGATTTATTTAGTATTTTTGTAGTTTAATATTGACAGTTAATTTATTTTTGACTGGTTGAAAGTTTGTTGAACGACTATTACTTGATTTTATAAATTTTGAAAGGTGTTCTATTTAAAAAAAAAACAGTCAAATGTTTATATCGTGGCTAGATATTTTTTCTAGTACTACTCGTAACGTAATGTATGCAGTTTGATCTATTAAAAATACGTTTTGATTATTTCGGTTGCTTTTCAAAATAAAAAAGTATTCTTAATAATCAAACACAAAGCTATCTATGATTTCAGTCCAATTGGAAAAAAATAAATTAATAAATAAAAATATACTTTATACGTATCTTCGATTCATGATACCTATATTTTGAAAATTGAGTCTTAAAGTGTTGATTTAAAATCGCAAGATTTTAACTTCTTTATTTTTGTTTCAGGATGAGTTGGAGGCGATCAAAATAAAATTAGAAAAATCCGAACACGACAGGTTAAAATTAAAGCACGAGAATGACAAGTTGGAGTCGAAGGTGAGTCACAGCCATTGGAAATAATTTTAAAATAAATACAGAATGTTTATAAATACGGTGCCAATATCTCGATAAATCTCGACAATTGCTGGGCTTTCGAAAATTTCTCCGATAATCACATGCAATTGTTTATTTAACGCAACATTTTCAGTCTCCCACTTCATTGTGGCGTCACAGCTCGAACGCCCTGTACGCGTTACGACATCGACTTCTGCAATTTCGCATACGTACTTGTGCAAACCAGCCCACGGTTCCTCGCCTTCATATTTTTTTATTCAATTTAAATCGGACGTGACAACACATTTTGCAAACTCATTTTACTATATGTATTTACTACATTCCTGAAATCGTTCGCCCTGCACCCCGCGTTGTAACGGCGATAAAAAACGACGTTTCGTCTCGCCCATATTTTGACACGCGGGCGATTAAATCATTAAATCGGGCCGCTCCCCGTCCGTAGATAAATATTCATTCGTGGTTATCTAATCTCTAGCAATACGTTTACTCCCACCGGAAATGTAGTCCGTGACGGCCCAAAATCGTCGACAGTGGCGTATACCACGAATTGAGACAGCGCGAGATCAGTAGCGGCCTTAAAAGTGTTATTTCTGTTTCGTGTGTTGATTTTTTGTTAAATTTTCGATATATAATTCATTCGCTACGGTTTGGCATCCAGGACTGTATAATACATTCGCGATTGTTAGGATCAGGAACTTAAAAATTGTTGGGAGAGGGATTATATTAATTACAAATTTTTTAATAAAATGGGTTTAATAAATGTAGACGTTTATTCGTTTAATTCAGGTACATTATCAGTATCATCGTATATGTTAATAATAAATATCTCTGTTATATTCGCAATGTAAATGTTCAACAGTTTTAACATGTGAAACACATTTTTTCCTTACTAAGGCTAAGGCACTAAGATCGAGTTCACTGGCACTGAAATGGAATTAATATTAATTCGCAAATTCAAAAGTTGAGGTATTTGATTTACATATTTTGATTTAATATTAGAAATTTCCATATATTTTTTTAATAGTGGATTTTTTTAATGTGGCTGATCAAAGTGCTGTTAGTTTCTCCAAAACCAAATATCTCCATTTATATCTAGAATTTGGTACTCAGTTAAGCGAGAATGAATAGAAGAAAAAATTTTTTTTTAGAATACTCATTAAAAGTTGACTTTTACCTGATATTTATTAAGTGTCAAAACAAAAGGTTTTTGTCTGCAGATCGTAAAAGTTTTACATCCACCTACAAATATCAATGAAATTATTGTTAATAGAATCAATTCATCAGTTCATTTATTATTATCAATATCAACGTAAATTTTAACAATTATTAATAATCAATTTAATTAACAATCAATTTAGCAGTTAATTTCTTTTAACGTTTAAATTTAAAGTTTCAATTGGACAAGTTGCTCACTGCAAAAGTGAAGAAGCAACAAAATAAGCAAAAATAACTAGTGTAAAACATAGGTAAAAATTACAATTTTTCATGGAGCTTACATCTTCACAAATTGGAAAACTTTTTAAGGTTTACTTGGAAAATTCTGACAATTTTTCTGTTGGAAATTAGATACACCTTGATTAATCAAAACAATTTTTTTGCTTCACGCGACATGTTCAAATTACTGGTTTTGCAAGAAATCTCAGGTATTTGTGATCCCATTAAAAATATTTTACTTGTAAATTGGTTCCCAAATACGGTCCCTACCTCGTCAGTAAACTCATTTGTCGTATAATCCCTTGACAATTAGATTTTATAATCGTCGGTAACTGAACTCAGGTCGACGCAGGTAGTCTATTTCTTAAATGCATAAACGTATTTACTTTACATTGTCTTAAGGGTTTTTTGAGCAAAGTTACATATATTTATATAAACTTCCCTATTGTTTGTTTCCGTTAATAGGAAATGCAGCTTTCTGTTTGAGCCGTATACAGGACATTCCTTATTTTGATTACCAAACTACAGAGTATTGCTTGATCAAGTGTACAGGTTAATATAACATCCTGTATATTGTTGCTTGTTGGAATCCTCCCCTTTTTCTGGTTACAAAGATGTATACATATAATTTGCTTTGCCAGTGATATTTTGATATTGTAATTTATTGTTGTTTTCTATAACATCGTTAGTTAAAAACAACAGAACAATGTCTCTTTTCAAGCTACAACTGTATATCGTGGTCTCGAGGGACAAAACGACCGCTTTAAATATTTTATACAGGGTGATTCACAACTTATCCAAAAAAATTTGTGAATAGATGCGACATGAGAAATGGACTCAATATCTTAAACAAAAAATTTGTAAAATCCTTATAGTTTCCTAGAAAAAAAAATATTTAAGTTGAAGTAAATTCAACCATTACATAGCTAGACAACTCTACTCTAGCGCCATTCGCACTACGCGTGGAGAGCCACGTGGCCTTAGCGACTCCGAATACTGAAATACTATTTTACAATCGTCGTTGCGTTAGTGTTTACCTGTTATCTGTGGCGTTTACAATAGTTTTTTAGTAGTTAGTGTCAAAAATGGCTTGCGTGTATAGCAACTCGGAGTTGATGGATATTGTTTTATAGTGAAGCAAGACAACATTTTGTATTATGGTGAAGCATTTGTGTTACGGTGAAACAAAACAACATTTGTGTTAATTCGTACAAACTGAGTAAGCCGCACGCATTTTTGCGAGGTCAGGTTTTACAGTGGACCAGTTTCCAGAAGTGTATTTTTAAATCATTTTCGAACTGCCCTTTTTGATTTTTTCTTTACAAAATTGTATTTGTAAGAGTCCCCTATACATCCAAATTATTTTTTTTTGGATGTCTGAATCACCCTGTATACAATCTTATTACAGTTGGAAAGTGTGAAAGGCTGTTTAAAAATATACAGCTCTATTTTCCACGGCTGTCCTTGACTGTGACAGAACGCGGCGCCGCCGCCTGCTATGCGATGCAGAGATTTGGGCCGCTTGCCCGAAGATCGCGCTGGGAAATCTTGGGCGGCCGGGAAAATATTGTGAAGCCGATAAACAACGGCTCTTGTTGCGGGGACGCTTTCTATTTCCGCGCGTAATACGATAGCGGGTCGTTCGGCGCTTCTTCCGTGCCAAAACGTCTTGTGATATTAATCGAATTATTTTCCCTGCCAGGGAATGATTTAGAAATGTTGAGCGCGCTATTATCTAATTGTCAGGGACGTTGGGTAATTCGCGTTGATTTAATATCGCCATGGGCGTAGGAAGTTTAAGAGAGGGCGCGAGGTTCAAGATTAAAATGAAAATAAATTTCGCGTCTCTATTTTGTAGCCAATCAATTGACGTTATTTTAAAGCGAAAACACATTCGGTAGTTTTTCTCTTGGCGGATGCCCTGGACAAAGTTACTTTGAACATACTGACAATATACGGTGTGGACCATTTCGGTAACGCATGATTGGTATCTTGGAAACTATAAGAAATACGAAAATGGTTAAATGGGGCAAAGTGTTAAATCGTTATGTTGCTAACTTAATGGCACTTGCAGGCCGGTCCTAGTTCTTCAGGTTTTTGAGTTATTTTGAAAAAAGTAAATGTGTCATTTTGGAAAATCGAAAATCTTTTAAAATCTGAAACCACTTTTCCAAAGTAAATTTTTTTCGAGGAATTTCAGTGTATATTTAGATTTTCATTGCGACGTTTCGGTTCTGTGAAACCATCATTAACTTTCTTTCATGCCTACCGCGTTCGAATTAAATAAATCATAAAGTTGACGTTTTTTATACCTTAATAAAATTACTTCACCCAAGGTCCCATTATACGTCGTTGAACTCGAAATTTAATGGTTCATCCAATGGTGTAAAAGTCCAATATGGCGCTCATAAAAAAAATCAAAAGTTGGTAATGAAAACATCCTCCCAACTGATAGAGCATATCGTCTCTTCTATAAATACCGATTTTCATTACTTTACTTTCAATAATAAAAAAAGATACGGAAGAAATAAGAATATGTCAAGTTTTCAGTTTTTTCAGCTTATTTCAGGAACGGTGCAACTTATCTCCAATTTCTTTTCATAATCCGAAATCTTCTAGTTCAGGAGATACTAATGGTGGACACCTTAAAAGTAACTACCCTGTATAAAAAGCTTTAATAAATGCAACTTATGTTACAACGTTTTGTAACTATAATAATCAAAACATATAATAGAAATTTTCTACACATTATATACAAATTATTTTAATTTTTTACCTTTAGCAGAAAATTCTTTTAGGGACGCCTGTGAAACTCATTAAATTTTATTACCAGACGGTTTTTTGCATATTCAACTGACTTCGGACTATATACATACTGTCATCGTCTTGGTTCTTCAATTAATATCGGAAAGGCTATAAAGTTAGCAACATCTTTTAGCCGGCTATTTACAAACGCATCCCAAAACTTATAAAACAATATCATTAACCTGACATGTCTTCTGCTATGAATTTAAAACAGGTTTGTTTTGCTTCAGGCAACAATAAATTAAAATACTTAGTTTTAACGATTATTCAAGGCTAATTTAGCTCTTCGTTGCACCATGATAGCTTTAATAAAGCCTTTGGTATAAGACCAAATAATGCTCGTATAGGTTTTGTCAAGCTCTCTAACCTTGCACAGAAATAACAGAGTAAATTCTTCATAAATTTGATAGATTTTAAAGTATCTGTAAGTATGTATTTATTTTTGACAACCTCCTGAAGATTGTTATTCCTTGAATCCGATTTTGGTCTCTATTAGCCTCCTATGATTATTGATTATTGTCACAAAAATATAGGTTTGTCAGTAGTTTTATAAACAATTCTTATGTGGGTTATTAAAAAACATAAATTGTTACTCGTAGCGGGTGCCCTGATTCATAGAAAGCCTCCTTTACAAAGGCATACATTTCTGGATGTTATCGAACGTATTTATTCGAGAACAGTCTTTTTGAACCAACGACGATGACATGACATTATGCAACGCCGGGCACCATCGAGAGAAAGAT